ATAGGCCATCTTTACATCGGTTCTTAGACCCCCAGAATATCGATAGCCGTCCCTCGGAGTTGGCTAAATTCGAGTGGGATAAGATGATGTCCCCCTCTCCGAATTTGTCCACGCCACAGTCGTTGCACACCATTGAACTTGGAATTTATGGATGGCTGCATGAAATCGAAATTTCTGCTAAACCTGAGGTATTCTTTATGGTACTCTTTGAGATGGTTGAAAAGAATGGGGGACGAGAACCGGAGATGATTGGGTTTACTCTTACCGTTTAGATAGCGGTTTTCGCAGTTACTTGCATTATTGTATTACCGAGTCCTTCGTTAAAAGATTCATTCCTGTGAAGCAGACGTTTGGCTCGCTTGGGTTGTGAATGGAGGTTCAGATAGTAGCGTCAGTGGACTATTTTGCTACTAGCCTCAGCCTGAGACTCGCCGATTCCTCTTCTATGAGCACAACACTGTCGATAGACGGCTGATTTAGCTCGATAAGTCATTGTACAAGTTGAAATGTAAATAGTTGAGTAAAGAGACAGTTATCAATAAATGAGCGATTCAGACTACTGCCTTGCTTTGGCCTGCCAACGTATGTAGACGCCCATGCATCATTTTAGTAATATTAAGCGCGCCGATTTCTTCTTTGTTCTTCTCAATGAATCTCTTCGATAAACTCCAGTCGAACTATGCGCTCTCATCTCCAAATTCTCTGTCCTCGCACATGCCGAATCGTTGCATGGACTATATACTCTTACACGACTTTCCAAACGAAACTACGCGATATTTAATCCTTTTCTTTATCGAATACTGGACAACGACGCGTTGCGCGTACTTGCAGTCTCACAGGAATCCAGGATCCCCTTGATTGGTCCTCATCCTGCTTCTTTCGTAAAAGAACTTCAGGCTGGAATTCGACGTTGATGAGGATCACTCAGAAGAGGAGATGCGCAAGTCACTAAAGACGTTTCGCAGAGACGTTGGTCGAACTATGGCCAATATAATTGCGCATGCGTCTGGAGATGCTCCTGGTCTACAAGTATTTTGGATCGACTGCCCCTTCTTGTCGTTCCCAGAACTGCTAGGAAAGGTGGACTTTTCCGTGTTCACGAGGCTTCACGACACGACCATTCGTTGTGAATTTCCCAAGGCAAATATCAAGAAATGCTTGAAGATGCTGGTATGTAAAGAGATACCTTCTCATCATTCTACTCTGAACAATTTTTCAGAAAGCCGTATGTGGTCCTTCTTTGACCTGTCTTGACCTGGATTTGTTCTTGATAGACGATGCGCGTGCGTATCCTAGCATAATATCATGTTTGTGTAGCTCTTAATTCCCCTGTTTAGCTCCTTTGGAACCGCGTTATTTTGCTCAAGCTCTTCGGCAGATCGGCGAAACCTGTCCCAATCTCATAGAATTTTCCATCGGCATCCCAGATCCCAAACAGCATTCTGTTACACCAATTATGGCCGCGTTGAATTCCATGCGCTTTCCCAAGCTAAACTTCCTAGACATATTCTATGGTGGTGAGACGCGCACTCCTGCTGGCTTAGAAGTCGATTGGGATCAATTTCTGCTCAACCATCCGACTGTTGAGAGCCTGAAATATTGCTCGCACTCTAAGGCAATCCCTAGTAATGCCTTCCCACATCTCAGAAAATTTGAAACCACGTTCGAGTATCGAACTGCTTTACCACTGGGAACGTATCGCCTTTTGTCCAGCTTCGTTGTGTGCTTGGTCTTTGCCTCCGACAGGTACACAGTGTCTGAGCTTAGGGGTGTACTCCAAGAAATGCCAAATTTGCGAAGCTTCACCTTGCAAGAGCATGATTGGTGTAACGCTTGGGGTTATCATGGACTTACGAACTATGAATTTCTCTGCCTTATTCGAGCTTGTCCTAAGCTGATCTACTTGGAGTGTCACATTTCGCGGCTTTGTCTACTCGTAAGCACTTGCATTATCTGACAACTACTTATTTGACCTCCCCGCTCTATAGGAGCAGATCTACGCATACATCTCGAGCATCCCTCTCGCGTATCGAGCACCTTCACCTGACAGTGTATAAACCGTGTTTACATCGGTTTGTGGATTCCCAGAATATCCAAAGACGCCCTATGGGATTGATTCAATCTGAACGCGATAAGATGGAAAGCTTGAATAAGCTACAGTCGCTAGATGTCATTGAGCTCGACATTTATGGATGGTTCTACGAAATCGAAGCCACTGAACCTCCGCCATGGAATGGGGTGTTATCCTTTCAAATGGTTGAAAAGAATGGAGGACGAGAACTGGAGATGACTGAGTTTCTCGACTTTATTTAGATAGACTCGGAGATCTTCGCAGTTACTTATATTATTTTGTTATCGACTTCTGAGTTGGGTTTTTTCGGCTTTAGTACATACAGGAATTTTTTGCATGTTGGTCATTACTATGTAGTGCGTACTTATTACACATGAACTCGCAAATCGGTTTACTTGGAAGGGCGAATTAAAGATTGCAAGATGTAATGGATAATACGCAGTACACTTGCAGTGTGTAGCATGCAGAATAACAATTATAAAAACCTTCAGAAAACAAATTCAACGCAATGACTCGCTTCCGGGCTCCAGTGAGTGAAAAACCGTGGATATATATACGGGTTCAACGTTCAACAACTACGCCATCGAATCATAGCTAATGGCAGTCTGTACAAATAACTTACTTAATGCAGCAGAAGAGCAATGTATGTAGAGATGAGCATAAGTATGTCACATAAATCAACGAGCAACACTATATCACCAGCCATCCGACGCGCCGCACTTTCCCTGCACATCTTCATCTTCATGAAAATCAACAAGCACACCCCCCATTCATCCAAGTATTCAATAATAATCACTCCAAACCCCAGCCTCTCCTTCCTTTCCCTCCGTCCCTTTCCCCTGCTCTTTATCGACATCCACCAGTCTCTCCCTGAGCCCCCTCAACTTTGCCTTAAAATCATCCATCCCAATATACGCCCCACACATCCTCCTCGCACCCCTAAACGCCGACCTCCCATGCAACACTCTCCAATTATCTACAATCACTGCCTGTTCCGGGCCTCAATTGTACCCAATACTCGGAATCGGGGGAAGTAAGTAGGGAATGCCACGTCCGTATGGCGTTGTAGAATTTGGGTACAAGGGAAGGAGGAAGGGAGGACAAGGCGCTACGGTCGTCGTTGTTCCAACGGACTTGAGTTAGTGTTTGAGTTGGGGAGTCGGAGTTGGACCCCGTATCGGAGGGAGAAGTTGAGGGGAAGTGTTGTAAGATGGGAAAACCGGTTTCGGCGGTAGAGTAAATCCCGGAAGTGTGTTTTTCGCCAGCTGCGTGGGCTGGGACACGGACTGAGCTGAGGATTTCGTAGGCTTCGGGATGCAGCTCGCGGAGGATGGAGGCGACGTAGAAGCCGTCGACAAGGAGGGTAGTCCCGCCGAGGGAAGGGTGGGAAGTATTAGTATTAGAGCTCTTGGGTGTAGGAGAAGCAGCGTCCGCTGTAGAATCGCCAGAGTCAGCGGTCTCTGTATGCGAGAGTAAGTGGAAGAGCTGGAGGCCGCAAGGGTCGGTCTGGCGAGTCTAGTTAGCTGATTGTAGACAATGATACGACTTACGAACCACTCACAAAATATGTATTATCCGTGTGTGCGCCCAGTGCGATACTCGTATATGCCGTATCACCTTTTGATAAATCGGAAGTAAATTCCCAGAATCGGCCGTCTGAAAAAAAGTTATCGTCGAGCGAGAGCGGATAATCAAAATGTACTTACACTGGGTTTCCCGAATAAATGCTATCCTTCTTGACAACTCTTCTGTCGCTTCTGCAGTCGGAGGTACACCAGAGACAAAGCAAAAGCCGAATTGTTCCTACAGCGCGGGTTATTAGTGACCAGAATTAGATCAGCTCAAAACCGTGATACGTACGATATTCGTCAACCACTTCAACAGGCCCTTATCTCCCTTCATCACATCCTCATACGCGACCGTCGGCGGTGACTGCGCGATGCGCGAACCCCAAAGTATTTTCTTCTTCTCCAATACTTCCTCTTCGTCTCTTGGCATCCTGGGATCATAGGAATTCTTCCTCAACCATTCCCAAGGATATATTGATTCGTGTTCATGTTCTCGCTTTCGTTCTGACTTTTTCAAGTTGCTTGGACTCTCTCCCAAATCCGGGTCAGCATCAGCCGTTGCAAAGGAAGGCCAAATAACTTTTAGCCCCTGCCGGGTCGAGGAAACACTAATTGGCTGAATACCAGGTGGTATTTCGAATGTGTTTAGTAGACGTTGCATTGTTGTTGGATGGAAGCATTCCGAACAGCGACAGTGGTCTCTTAACCATTGATGGTGACTGGAAGGAGAAGAAACAAGTGAGATCAATCATTACGAATAGACAAAAAAAAGAAAGAAAGCTACATGTATTATGATTCTAACTCACAATCTCGACCAAGTCCTCGTATCCCATCCAATCGCTACTCGATTTTCGTCCATACTGTTAATCGGAAGATCCTCCCATGCTTCATGATCTTGCTCGCCTGGTGGTTTACTAGCAAGCGTAGCTGCAGAAGCTGCCGTCCGACGTTGTACCCAGGTTCCTGGTACCGATACCGATACCGGTGGCCGTATGACCTTCGGATTTATACTTGGAATTGAGGGCTAGAAAGAAGTATAGAGTTAAGATTGTTCAGGTCAGAGAGTAAGAGTTGCAATCTATACCGAGATCCTATAGCATCTCCTCCATCTTTGAACGTTGACTCCCGACGCTGGTTGTCGTAAGAACCGAGCTTGGGCTCTGAGATTCAGATTTAACATATCCAGGTAAAGATTAAGATGAGGACAAAAGCCTGGATTCAAGAAGCCATTCCGTCGAGGAAGGAAGCCGAGGTCGTGACGGTCGAAAGCAGGCCGAGATCAATTCCGGAAAAATTGTAATTTGTCTTACGCGCCGCTCGACTCCAGCGCTCAGGTTGGACATTGACAGACATATCGCCATGGTTCGATGGCGTAGTTGGTTATCGCATCTGTCTAACACTGAACATAGCGGTTGGCAAGCCTAATTTGCACAGAAGGTCCCCGGTTCGAGCCCGGGTCGAATCATATATCTACCTCTGATATTCATTTTTGTTCGGATACTAGAAAAATTGGGAATTGCTAAGTCGCACTTCCATTATTTTATTAGACTAAGTGCGCTCCGAACTTAACCGTGATATATTCTGGACGCCGAGGAAGTACTAAACTTATTTGGATCATGTAGAACTTGAAGAACAACGTCGGGAAAGGTCAAAGTACAAAAATACAACATACAATCCAGCCAAACGTCCAAAAAAGCCATGCTTCAACAGGAATAAATCTGGTATTGTATCTTTGTTCTTTTAGTTCCGGAAACAACCACCCTCAAACCCTTCTTGTCCAAATCCAGGAGTGGCTTATATACTTCCGCATCCACCTCTCGGTGGCGGAACTTGAGAACGACTGAACGTAAGCAATCTACGCCAACAATCGTTGCATATTTCGAGTCTGGCAACCACCGGGACCGCACTGTTTTGATAAACGCTTTGTCGTCAAATACCGTGCCAGTGAATACCAGGCGAAGACTGCAAAGTTTCGGGACAAGGTGCATGATGGACCCAGTAGGCAGGCTTTCCGGGGATACACAGCAAAGGCTGGAGATTAGTTGCGTGGTTATGGGACTGTGTGATTTCAGCCCTTTGTCACTGATCTCGAAGTCATTCAGAGAGGGCATGATACGGAGGGCAGCAATGACATCCTCATCAGAGAGGGCAACATTGCGGATTGTAAATGTGGTGATTGTGCATGCCGATCTGGATATAAAGGAGTCGAATGCCTTCCTCGGCCAGGTTTGCACATAGTCCTCGTCAACATCTCGGCTGATCTTGAGGTCGGTTAAGAGAGGGAAGTTGAAGCAGGAAAACACCATACTAGAAAGGGATTCTGGAGCGGCTTCATAAACATCAAGCGAAACTATGCTACGCCCCGTACTTGGGGTTTCAGGGAAGTCTGAACTATCGTCAAATCCAGCAAGTTTCAAAGAGGTAAGGGAAGGGCATTTTCGAAGAATATCTTCCATATCGCTATGCGAAAATATTTTAAAATTAGCCCATTGAAGCTGGTGATACGGGATAGCCGAGGGGACTAAATCATATGTGTTCAGCGCGCGGAGGTTGGGGGCGTGCTGAAAGCGGTTGAGATCAGTCGATGAGATACCCTCATCTTGAGCTTCAAGTTCCAAATCCGTAAGAATGGGGTAACGGAGGTCGGAAAGTATTCTATAGTCTGTTAACGTGTGCTCTCCCATGTACTTGAAAGTTTTCCAGCGATGGGCATGACGCGCGAGACGAACCAGAGCAAAAGGTTCATTCCGCTGTGGCTGTCCCTGGATATTCAGCGTGAGGTTGAGCGGGGAATTTCCTGACACCTGGAGATATCGGTCAAGCATAGAAATAAATCCATCCGACCAGTGTTTCAAAGTCATGCAGATCTCTACATCGAGGTTGGACCACAGACTGGGGTATGAAAGTGCGAGCTGACGCCATCGAGAGCATACCGCACTGATGGCCATAGCTGGGAGATAGGTGATGACAAGTGATGACAGTTTGGTGGGTGGTGGAGAGCCGTCGTCGTGCCACGGAAAATCCTGGAGCAAGTTCTTTTCGCACGTGTACTCAAAGATGTGAGCCAAAGTCTCGTTGGGAAGTTTACGGAGAGGCGAAATCAAGGATTGCAGCTGTCTCCTGTGGTTCTCCAGCCGGACCTGTTGTGTTTCGATATGCGTGATATGAGATCGAAGGCGAATGAGCTCCGCCTCGTAGTCCTTGCCGTCCTGGTAAGCTAAAAAAAGCATCGCTTCCACCTCTTGTATGAAAGGCTCGAATTTTGGGGAGCTTGTCGCGTTCATTAGCTCGGCAGAGCTGAGATCTACGCGTGGCTTCAACGGATTCCGACACCTTGAACATAGGCTGTCCTTTTCCGTAGACATGATTCTAGATGGCCGGATTTCAGGGGTTATTTTCCATGTATAACAGATGTACCTACCTTTAGGAGAATTGGCAGAGGGCAGAGGAAACAAAGGGGAGCTAGTCAGACCGTACGGTCAAAGTAAGAAGAAGATTAAGCGCTCAGTGGCATAAGCGCCTTAGCTCGTTTTTGGTATAGTCTAGACAAGTCTCGATGAGTTGGGGAGTTTGGAAACTTCTTGCAATGAGATTCGAGGTTAATTGAATCCTTTTTTGAGTCGTCCGCTTTAGAAAATCGATTCCAAAGAGATAAAGGAGGTCCCGCAACGTTTCAGTAACATAATCTACAGAAGCGGATGTTAATAATGATAGCAGTTAACAAATAGATTAGCTTGACTGGCTTGACTGTACATGTGAAAGTCAACAAGGGATATGTACTAGAACTGAGACTCGGAATCGGGTTCCTAGGCAATGATGTGCTTAAAGGGAATGTACAAGTATTGTCCGAATTCTTTTATATACGAGAAAGGTGAGGAAAAATTACACCAGTAGCATCTTTGACTCAAGGAGAATTTTTCGCCAGGGAACCGCTCCGGGCATTACAGACCGTCCTAGATTTGACTCTTGCAGTAAGTTGTGAATATTATGACAGTTGTTGGCCACTTCCCCCTCTTCCTCGAGTAGCTTGAGAAGCAAGCTTCGTTTGTTCGCCATAGTAGTGAGGGCTGCACAAATGAAGATTGCAAAGATGGTGCTGCGCACAACAACATGCTTCACTCCTTCTGTTGCCGCAGATACATGTTCCAAAGACGAAACTGCGTCCGCGACGGCTTCGCTAATCTCTGGTACCAGTGGATGGTCGCCACAGATAATGGTTCGAAGATAAACAATGGCAGAGGTGCGGAAGACCTCAGAAGCCAATGCTCGAGAGAAATCATCGTCTTCGGTTCGTGAAATCATGGTCGGCGGGATGAGTAATGACTCGATGTCAGTAGCCTTTCTGTTAAGTTCATTAATACTGAGCTGGCCTTCTTTCTCGCGAGCTTCCTTCCAAACATAAAGCTGGGATATCTGTGCGAAGGCCCAGACAACACGGTTCTCGCAGCCCATCACTGGCAGCATGCTGAGTGAAGCCGACTCTTCTACATCATAGACACCACTCTGATTAACTGGATTGTAGAGATTGTCAATGACGTGGACAAAATTGGGGGACGACATCGTCGTCACCGAAGCGATGCTGTCAAACCAGAATGTGGTCTTGATAATAAAGCGCTCCTTGTCTGAGCAATTCATAACCGCATCGCAATAGTCGCGGAATCGGTTTCGATCATTGAGGATGTTGTTCGAATAGATGACAGCAACCTGAAGCCATCTCTGCCAGTCACCTTGACCGCCGTCGAACAAGAACGTGGAGATGACAGTCAATGCAGCAAGAGTGGCGTCATCGTTAAATCGCTGTTTCCCGAAGCTGAACATGTTCAAGAGTTCGTCGTAGAGTTGACCGATATGAGTGGCTTCAAATGCTGGGGTCAGTGGCGCTTGACAACGCTGTATATGCACAGATGCCAACAAGCGAGCTGCATGTCGAGCAAATCCGTCTTCTTCAACAGCATCAACAAGGATTTTGAGCACTGTAACTTTGTCTGCGAGCTGGTATTGTAGGGCCGCTACCGTAGTAACGTAGTGGTTCGTCAGCTCGTCTGGTACACCATTGGCATCCGCCACGGGGGATGAAGAAGGGGCTTTATGACTGGAATTGTATGATATATGTCCTCGGCCAACGCAAGTAGATTGATGTCGAGCAAGGACCAATAGAGTTGCGAAATCGTTTTTTCCACATTTCTGGCATTGTGGACGTTTAAGTATATAATGTGAGTTCATGTGGTCTAAGAAGATGGATTAGCATATGAAGAAAAAAAGACATCCAACGCACTCAGAAGATTGTCTTTTCTGGTAAACCTCTGGTCACAAATAACACATATGAATTGGGGTTCATTGTTACCATTGTTGGGCCCAACCACTCCCTTGAATTCTGCAGGTGTAGGGGCAGAAGGCACGCCTTCAATGGGCACATTGATCATTATCGAACTGAAGTTGGGATAGGATAGTTCAGCTTCACCCAGTGACAATTCATCCATGAATGTCATGACAGTATGCCTCTTATCCGGATCGACCCAGCACTTCATCACTGCTATCCACAGCCGATCAGAGAATCCTGCTGTAGGGCGTGACGGCCGAGATCCACTCATCACTTGGAGCATTACTGCGGCGTCAGATTTTCCAGAGAAAGGGGGACCGCCGGTCATAATCTATAACAGGTTCAACAGCTCAGTTTAGATTTACACATAAAGGAAATTACTTGCCTCATAAATTGTACAACCAAGCGCATACATATCCGTGACCGTGGATGGTTTCGAATTCGTAAAGAATTCTGGAGCCATCCATCTGATACTTCCGCGTGTACCGTCTGCTGTCGAAGACGAAAGAGTTTGCAATGCGCTCATCATTCCCGCTAGACCGAAATCAGCCAGACGACATTGCCCAAGATCGGATACTAGGATATTGCCCTACATTGAAGGTTCAGTTGTAAATCTAATAGAGTGAAGAAAAGGACGGACGCCTTTGAGATCTCCGTGGACTATTGGTGGGTTTCGGGAATGCAGGTATTCCAGCCCTTTGAGAATATCCGATATCTATGGCATGAATGGAATCAGTGTTTGCCATGTTCAATGACAAAAATGAACTTGCAATTCCCATCTTGTCGGCTTCAGGATGAGTACTTAGATACACCATAACATTGCCATGGCTGCACCAAGGTGAAACCAAGCAATAGCTCTCCGGGAAAAGGTCCATATTTGTACCCAGAAATGGAAGGACATTCGGATGCTCCAACTGGCTCCAGACTAGTGCTTCTTGGGAGAATTCCTAAACCGGGATGAATGGGCATCTAAAGATGCATTCGGAGCAGAAGATACCTTGAATAACTGTTTCTTTGGAGCCTCCGTGGTAAAGACCCGAAGAACCTTGAGGCATACGGGGTCTCCGCTCGCTGTCTGTCCTTTCCAGATATCCTACAACAAAAATAATGAGCGATCTAGAGCTACCATATAGGAAGATAAGATG